TAAGGGAACCACGGGAAATGGCGAGTGTGTGTAGGAAAATGAAGGATGGGGCGTGAAGACCTGGGGGGAGAAGGGAGGGGCTGGGTGGAGGGGAGCAGGGGGTGGGGGGACGGGAGACAGCTGTAACACTGTCAGAAATTTAAAATGGAAAGGAAGACAGAAAGGAAATGAAGGTGAAGAAATGGGCTGTAATGGGCCTCGCTGTGCTGTGTGACCAGAGAGGTTCTGAGAGCAGTGCTGAAGCGAGCAGCGTGCAGCCAGGTGTTGGAACCTGGGGAGGAGTCTCCGGAGGAAGCCAGGGCTGTGCAGACACCTGGGCAGCAGGCGTGCTCGGGAGGGGGTGGGGGGAGCCCGGAGTGGGGATGGAGCGAGGCCAGAGGAGGGGCAGCGCCAGGCCCACAGGCGGGGCCACGCTCAAGAGCTTGGGTTTTATTCTAAGTGTCACAGAAAGCCACTGGAAGTTCACATCACAGGAGTGACATGGTTTCTCTCTCTTGTTTTTATAAAATGTATTTTTATTGATTTCAGAGAGGGAGGGAGAGGGAGAGAAACATCGATGATGAGAGAGAATCATTGATCAGCTGCCTCCTGCACACATCCCACTGGGGATGAAGCCTGCAACCTGGGCATGTGCCCTGACCAGGAATCAAACTAGGGACCTCCTGGTTCGTAGATCAAGGCTCAACCACTGAGCCACACTGGCAGGCTTTCTTTTCTTTTTTAACCTTCATTGAAGGATTTGTTTATTGATTTTAGAGAGAAAGTAAAGATGCAAGAGAGAAACATCGAGGTGAGAGAGAAAATTCAATCAGCTGCCTTCCGCACGTGCCCCGACGGGATTGAACCCACAGCCTTCAGTGTATGGGACGATGTTCTAACCAATTGAGCCATCCACCCAGGGCGTGACATGGTTCTGTAACACTTTCCAAGACCACGCTGCCGTGTGTGATGAATAACCGCGGGCGTGAGACAGGGGGCGGGAGTGACTGCGCAGGGAGCTCTGGAGGAGCCTGACTGGAAGGTGAAGGGGCTGATGGTGAAGGTGGAGGGAGGGAGGCAAACTCAAGACATACTTTGCACGTAGGGACTTTAAGACTTGCTGCAGGTGAGGCTGAAAGAAAATCAAAGATGATTCCCAGTTTTTGGATGAATAAACTCATAAAAATAGCCAATACTTATTGGTTTTTGAGAGCTTATGTCAGACATGGTCCTAAATACTGTTTCTCTCTCTCTCTCTCTCTCTCTCTCTCTCTCTCTCTCTCTCTCTCTCTCTCACACACACACACACACACACACACACACACACAGTTGCAGAATCCTCACAAGATTCTAGCAGGGACATTATTATTATAGTCCTTCTGTTACAGATCAGGAAACTGAGGCACAAAGCAGTCAAGCAACGTGGCCCAGGCTGTGCAGGTGGCGTGGCTGGGGCCACTGCCCTTGCTTCCCAAGGACACGGAGAAGGACAGGAAGGCATGTGGAAGAGCACGAATCCAGGTCCCTGCAGGGGAACCAGGCTGCACGCAGTCCCTGGCTCACTCGACAACGGCCACCCGAGCCCCCAAGGGCCAGGTGTAGGGACAGTCAGCAAGCGAGGGGACCGCCAGGTGAGATGAGCAGAAAGTGAAACGATGGAGAGGCGATATGCACGGAGGACTCTAGAAGCACAGCCTCCCCTGCTGCAAAGCCAAAGGCTGGACACGGCCCAGCGGGCACTGCTGGCCTCCGCAGAGGGTCCCAGCAGAGGGACATGCACGCATTATCACTGCCCTCGGCTCTGCGCTGCCGCCTACTGGATTGTAAACATCTGTCTATGCTCCACCACTTTCCTAGAGTAGAGCCGCCCCACTCCCTGCCTTTGATTTTTATTGATTGATTGATTTTAGAGAGAGAGACAGAAACATCAATTTGTTGTTCCACTTACTTATATATTCCTTGGTTGATTGTTATATGTGCCCTGACCAGGGACTGAACCCGCAACCCTGGTGTATCAGGCCAACATCCCAACCAACTAAGCTACTCCTTGTCTTTCAAAAATGGACTGTCTTGCCCAGCCGGCGTGGCTCAGTGTTTGAGCATCGACCTATGAACCAGGAGGTCACAGTTTGATTCCCGGTCAGGGCACAGGCCTAGGTTGCAGGCTCAGTCTGCAGTGTGGGGCGTGCAGGAGGCAGCTGATCAATAATTCTCTCTCATCATTGATGCTTCTCTCTCTCTCTCTCTCTCTCTCTCCCGCTCTCCCTTCCTCTCTGAAGTCAATAAAAATATAATAATAATAAAAAAAATAAAAATGGAACTGTCTTATGACCCAGCAATTCCACTTCTGGGAATATTCCTGAAGAAACCCTAAACACTAACTTGAAAAAATATATGCACCCTTATGTTTATTGCAACTAGTGTCCTGGTGCACGGATTCGTGCACATTGAAAGGAAATTAATTAGAAGAAATATTTTAATAGTGTTATTTGCCCTTTCTCTATAATAGAAGTGTCAACCAAATTCACAATCGACAATGACAGATCGAAACACACGTGTGCAATTGGCGCCAGCGAGAGCTTTATATGTATCACGCACGCGCGAGTCAACTTAGCCTTTTATAGATATAGAATAAACTTGCTTAGTTAGACCTGCTTTCTGATTTAGCTAAACTTTTTCCAGCCCAATAAAGCACTCCAACTTCTCTTTCAGGTAATTATCAGCAACACAACAGTAAATATCAACACGAAGCAGATTATTATTGTAGATCACGCAGGGAGAACAAAGGGTTAAATATTTAACTGCAGTAGTGTTTGACTATATTCTGTGCAGTGAGAAAACCAGAAGTCATTTTTAGGGTTCACCATTTCTTACTTCTTTTCAGCCGGGTCAAGTTTCTAAGCTTTCTAAATCTCCGTTTTTTGGCTAATGAAAAGAAAATAGGATTCTACCGAGTCTCCTATCTACCTGCTCCAGGACTTCTGTGAGGATCAAATGAGATGAGGCATGGGAAAACGCTTCATAAACATTTGGTTGAACTGTAAAATGTTTGCACCTGGCTATGATGCAAGTCGGGTTCCTGGGCTGAAGAAACTCCAAGGAGGCTAGTTGCTAGGGAGAGGAAGCCAGGCATTGGTACGTGACGTCATTACCCCCGCGCTCACAGTGACCATTTCCGGGCTGGGCTGGGCTGTGGGCTGCATTTTGCACCATGGGGTCTTGGCAGCATTGGCTGCGATTTGGTGAGGTGCCGCTCCAGGGTGGTGGCAGGGCCTGTGTCCCTCTTGGGGGAAGCCGAGTGTTGGTTTGTTGGGGCCAGTGCATGTCATGGCAGCTCCTACGTTGAGCGCCTGCCCCTGGTGGCCAGTGCTTATCATAGCTACCGGTCGGAGGGAAGCCTTTTATATATATATATATATATATATATATATATATATATATATATATATACTGGAGGCCCGGTGCAGGAAATTCGTGTACAGGCTGGGGTCCCTCAGCCTGGCCTGCACCATCTCCAATCTGGGACCCCTCCCGCAATCTGGGACCCCTCCCGCAATCTGGGACCCCTCCCGCAATCTGGGACTGCTGGCTCCTAACCGCTCACCTGCCTTCCTGCCTGATCGCCCCTAACCACTCTGCATGCCTGCCTGATGCCCCTAACTGCTTCCCTGCCTGCCTGATCACCCCTAACCACCTCTGCCTGATTGCCCCTAACCTCTCTGCCTGCTGGCCTGATCACCCCTAACTGCTCTCCTCCCAGCTGGATCGCCCCTAACTACTCCCCTGCCTGACTGATTACTCCTAACTGCCTCTGCCTGCCAACCTGATCGCCCCTAACTGCCCTCCCCTGCCAGCCTGGTAACCCCTAACTGCCCTCCCCTGCCTGCCTGGTTGCCCCTAAGTGCCCTTCCCTGCCAGCCTGATCACCTGTAACGGACTCTGCCTTGGCCCCCACCACCGTGGCTTTGTCCAGAAGGACGTCTGGACGGATGTCTGAAAGACGTCCGGTCTAATTAGCATATTACCATTTTATTAGTATAGATATATAGATAGATAGATAGCCAAGCTATGGAAGCAGCCCAAGTGTCCATCAGTAGATGAGTGGATAAAAAAGCTGTGGTTCATTTACACAATGGAATACTACTCAGCTGTAAAAAAAAATAACCACCAAGGAAATCTTACCCTTTGCAACAGCATGGATGAACCTGGAGAGCATTATGCTGAGGGAAATAAGCCAGTTAGAGAAAGAAAAGTACCATATGATCTCATTTATATGTGGAATAAAATAACTGATGAATAAAATAAAATAACAAAATAGAAACAGACTCATAGACACAGAGAACAGACTGATGGTTGACAGAGCGGAGAGGGGTTGGGGTCTGAGTGAAAAGGGTAAAGGGATTAAGCCCAAAACAAAACTCACAGCCACAGACAACAGTGTGGTGATGAGCGAGGGAAGGGAGTGGGGGAGGTAGCAGAGGGAAGGGGGGTCAATGGTGACGGAAGGAGACCTGACTTGGGTGGTGAACATAGTGCAGTAACAGGTGACGCATTAGGAAACTGTACACCTGAAAGCTATATAATGGTATTAACCAACGTCACCCCAATACATTCAGTAAAAAACCATTTAAAATGTACAGAACTGTATTCCTCCTGAGAAGGGCAGCTAAGATTTCCTGAAATGAATGTGGCAGGAGGAGAGGACGGGGACCTCCCGTCTCCAGGCTCCTGTGGGCAGGACGGGGCCTGGTCTGGGCCAAGAACTTGGTTTTCAGAGCAAACTGCTACCGACTGTCCTGCCGGGGAATCAAGCCAATGGTTTGCTCTGGAAACTGGCCCCGCTGCCCCTTGCTCCTGGGTTCGTAACTCGAAGGCAACACCCTTGGGCGGGAGCGTGACCACCGCCACCTGCTCGGCCTGGCGCTGGCCGTCCCGCCACAGGCAGCGGGCGGGCTGGGAGTGAGCACACGGGGCGCAGACATGCTCTTGTTTCAGAAGAAGGGGGTGGTTTTGAGCCTTACCACGGCTTCGGATGTGGACAGGTGGCCCCGCAGCCCCGTCTTGGGAAGCATCTCCGTGGGGCTCAGCAGGTGCAGCTTCAGCTTGCCAAAGAGGATCTTCAACAGAAGATGACACGCAGTGAGGGCCCAGTGTGCGGGGCCAGCATCGCACGACAGGCCACAGCCACGGCCAGGGCAGCCGCGACACAGGCGCAGAATGCCGGGAGTCTGATTTGCTACTTTTCTTGAGCTTACAGGCTCTAGAACAGTGGTTCTCAACCTTCTGGCCCTTTAAATACAGTTCCTCATGTTGTGACCCAACCATAAAATTATTTTCGTTGCTACTTCATAACTGTCATGTTGCTACTGTTATGAATCGTCATGTAAATATCTGATATGCAGGATGGTCTGAGGCGACCCCTGTGAAAGGGTCGTTAGACCGCCAAAGGGGTCGCAACCCACAGGTTGAGAACCGCTGCTCTAAAGGAATGACTCGCAATGTGAGAGAACATGAACTTACATATAAGTTCAGGATACATCTCCCTTCACCCGAGTAAGAAGTTTATTTTATGAAAGAACCAGATGCAGCTGTACCTCTCGAAGCTGAGCGCTGCTGGTTATGAGGAACTGCTCTCCTGCCACAAAGTGGGCTTCTTGCTCCAGTTCCTTGAGACGAGACTGTGAACGTGATAAACACAATCTCATTGCAGTTTAAGATGATTTGATTTGTTCACCAAACAGTTCCCAACAAAAGCCCTTATAAGGATACAAACACATATTTTTGACACTAAAAGTACATATTTTGACTCATGGTAGGATACCCAGGCTCACAGGATCCCTCTAAACCTAAGGAAACAAACGGAAAGAAGCAAAATCAGTAAAAAAAAAAATTCACCAAAATGAGGGAGGGAAAGAATGAATTCTCCAGCAGCGTTCTGACTAGAAAGGGGTCCAGCATCCCATTATAAGCGTTAAAACCCCTGCGTGTCCCATGGCAGGGACTCCGGGCCCAGCTGCACGGCCACAGCCACAGCCAGCACAGAGACGGCAGCCACGGAGAGACGGAGGCCGATAGGGACAGCGCTGGACCGAGCAGAGCCGCGGGACCTGCTGCATTTACAAACCCATTCCCCTCACCATCTTGGTCAGAAGAAAAGTAGAAGAAGGCCAGGACTTAACAAAAAATTGTTGTAAAAGGAAAGAGAGAGCCGAGTCAAATCAACCAATTCTGGTGAAATATCGTCCACATACTACTCTTTAGAATTGCCGTTAGGCGGAAATTTCTAAGAAGTTTATAAATAGGGGCCAGAAAAACTAGGAGCGGGACACATATAACATAAAAAAGTAACATCTCAGCTAAACAAAGAACCCAGGAACAACGGCCTCAGTTAAAGATGCCAAAACTCCGAGTTAAAGAAACAAATGATTTAAAAAACAAGGAACAAAGCATTAAGAGACAGACGATGGGTCCCCTGAGGAATAAGTCAGACCTTAGGAAACAAAAGCACAGTCATAATTGTTTGATCTCAAAAAAGGGAGCGAGAGTGTGAGCTCCGCGCTCATACGGCACATGCGCACACTCCTTGTGTTTAAGCACACACAGTGCTGGGTGAGTATAGACAGAGAGAGACAAAAAGACCGACAGCTTCAGGCAAAACAAGACATAAACATCTCCTCAGAGCAGACACACATGAGAACTACAAAGCATTGGCCAAGCGGGGGAGCCAGGAGGCAGAGCCCAGCTGGGCGCGCAGGAGCCAGCAGCCCTCTGGAGGCCGGGTCCTGCTATGAAACCAGGCCCTGAAAGTGCTCCGTCATGGGAGGAAGCCGGGGTAGGCAGTATTGGTTTCCTGTTGCCGCATAACAAACACCCCCAAACACCACCACGGTGTCTGCTCACATTTCTGGGGATCAGCAATTTGGGTAGCGCTCAGCTATGTGCTTGTGCTGGCCTCGCGACCTCGGGGTTGAAATGTCCATCTTTCACTAGATTTCCCCCCCAAATATTTAGCTCATTTTAAAAATTGTGACAACCATTTTCTTTAAACCATTTTTTCTAAATTAATTTATTAGTTAATCCTCACCCGAGGATATTTTTCCATTATTGATAATTAGAGAGAGTGGAAGAGAGGAGGGGAGAGAGAGAAACAGCCCAGGACTGGGGATCAAGCCTGCAACTGAGGTACGTGCCCTTGACCGGAATTGAACCTGTGACCCTTCAGTCTGCGGGCTGATGCTCTATCCATTCAGTCAAACCGGCCAGGGCAGGGCTTTTCTTATTGATAGGAGTTCTCTACATACTCTGTATATTACTGTTTATCACACACATTGTAAACATAATAAAAATCCGAACAGTATTTTTAAAAGCAAATTGAAGAATTTTATATGAAAATGCAAAGAACTTAGAATAGCCAATTTTTAAAATGAGCTATGTGTGGGAGAATGACATACTGTAGGATATCACGCATATTGTAAAGCTCCAGTAATAGGCCAGGGGAATGTTAGCACAAGGACAGACAAACCAATGAGAACCGAATCAAGTCCAGGAAAGACCCCCCACACACAGGGACCTGATTTATGACAAAGACCCTGTAGTCCCCCCCGCCTTATGCACGGGGGGTGGGGGTGGGGTGCTCCGAGACCCCATGGATGCCTGAGACCGTGGATAGCACTGAGTCCTACGTATACTATGTTTTTTCCTATACATCCATACCTGTGATGAAGTTTAACGTGTAAATCAGGCACACAGCAATAACAGCACACAGAACAATTATAACAACATCCTGTCATAAAAGTCCTGTGGATGTGGCCTCTCCCATCACTGCACTGCCCTCAATCTTCACGTAGGAAAGCACTTTCCGGCTTTATCTACGGTCAGCATCACCACTCTTGTGCTTTGGGGCCATAATTAAGTAAAATAAGGGCAACTTTAACCTAAGCACTGCGATGCCACAGCCATCCATCTGGTACCTGAGACGGCTACTGAGTGACGGACAGGCAGGCCTAGATGTAGCGTGGGCACGCTGGACAAAGGGCGATTCATGTCCCAGGTGGGACGGAGTAGGACAGCAAAAGACCTCATCACAGCCCTCAGAACAGTGTGCAACTTAAAACTTACGAGTAGTTTATTTCTGAAATTTCCCATTTTCAAACCGTAATTAACTTCAGGTAACTGAAACCGTGTAAGCGAAACTGTGGATAAGGGGGGACTACTGTACAAGACAGTTTTGCATTTTATTTCTCCCTCTTAACATTCTAAGTACTTTCTATTCCACACAGAAAATGTCAGCGAGCATAACTCTGAAGGGTGACATGATTTCTACTGCACTATTATGGTACCCTTCTTTAACCGTCCCTCTACTGTTGGCCCTGTAGTAAGTTTTGGATTTTAGCTAGTATAAGTAACATTGCAATGCACATTTTTATAAAAATGTCTATAACAGTAAGACCCAAAACTAACTCAGATCTGTCCACAGAAGAGTAGGTAAACACATTGTTGCACATTCACACAATGGAGTAGCACTCAGCAACATAAACAAACAAACTACCAGCACACAAACAACAGGCGGACCTCGGAACATGGTGCTGAGCGAAAGACACGAAGAGAGCGCACTGTCCGATCCCACCCACAGAGCCCTAGAAGGGTCCCGCCAGATATGGCAGCAGAGGTCAGAACAGCGGTTGCCTCTTGCGGATGCAACTGGGGGTGTGTATGGACACAGACATCAAGCTGTACACTAGGATGTGCACCAACGGAAAAAATAAAGAAAAAAACAACAAAATTTGCACCAAGGGGATCCTGGGAACACGGCAGAGTAGGAAGCACAAAGGATACTCTCAACAGAGTAAAAAGGCGACCCACAGAGTGGGAGAAAGTATTTCCAAGCCATATATCTGATAAAGGATTAGTATGCAGAATACATAGACAACTCTTAAAACTCAATGACAAAAAGGAACAAACAATCCAATTAAAAGTGGGCAAAAGTTGAATAGACATTTTCCCAAAGAAAATATACGAATGGCCAATAATCACATGAAAAGACTCACAACATCACGAATACGTAGTGAAATGACAATCAAAACTACAATGAGACCCCCCCCTCACATGCTTAGGGTGGCTGCTATAAAAGAACAGAGACCACGGGCTGGCGTGGGTGTGGGGAAACTGGAGCCCTTAGACCCTGTGAAAGATGCATGGTAGCTCCTCAGAAAACTGAAGACATAATGACCACAAGATCTCGCCGTTCGTTTCTGGGTGCATACTCCAAAAAGGGGAGAGCAGGGGCTCTAAGGGATCCGTGTGCCCCCCGTTCACAGCAGCCACTGACTGATGTCTGGTTACAGAAAGTGCGTACGTGTCTACCATGGAGTATTACGCAGCCTCAGGAAGGAAGGAAGCCCTGCCACGTACAACGTGGATAAACCTCAAGGATGCGCTACGCAGTGGAATCAGCCATTCACAAAAGGGCAAACTGATTCCGTTTACACAAAATACTTTACAGGAGTCACAATTATAGAGACAGGGAGTGGGTGGTGGTTACCAGGGGCGCACGGACCCCTCTGGGGGAAGGGAGAAAAGGGAGTTAGTGTTTAATGGGAATAGTTTCAATATCACCAGATGAAAGCAGTTATGGGGATGGCTGGCAGGCTGTGCACCATGTGATTGTATGTAACACCACTGAGCTGTGGTGTTAGAAATACTTGAAATGAGAAAATTTATGTTAAGTGTATTTTATCACAATAAATAAAAATATTTGTACCATTCACAATATGTAATTTATTTCTTTTATTTAATTCATTATTTTTTAAAAAATATATTTTTATTGATTTCAGAGAGGAAGGGAGAGGGATAGAAACATCAATGATGAGAGAGAATCATTGATCGGCTGCCTCCTGCTCGCCCCCTACAAGGGATCGAGCCCACAACCCAGGCATGTGCCCTGACCAGAATCGAACCTGGGACCCTTCAGTCCACAGGGCGACACTCTATCCACTGAGCCAAACAAGCTAGGGCTGAAATTTATTTCTTAATTTAAAAGTCCATAAAAAGAAAAATAAGTTCCAGGTGTATTTTATAACCTAAATGCAACGGCGAATGAAAATATAACACATGAGAATACTTCATGAGCTTGCAGTAAGGAAAGATTTCTTAAACGGATGCAGAAGGCACTAGTCATAAAGAAAAAGGGCTGAAATTACACCACATTAAACATTAAGAATGTCTGTCATCAAAAGACACCATCATGTGAGTGAAAGAGTAAGAACCCAGCTTGTAACCAGAATACATCAAGATGTCCTATTAATCAGTGAGAAAGCAAAACCCTCAGTACACAAATGGGTGGGAAACTTGGCCAGATCCTTCACCAAAGAGAAACTCCTAACGGCTGCTGGTGATACGAGACGCTGTCCAACCTCGTTAATCGTCAGGAACATAGAAACCAAAATCGTCACGAGGTAGTCCATCCTCCCCAAACGTCTGCTATAGATAAAGCCCGAGGGGGGAGGGATGCGCAGCGACAGGCCTGTGCGCCCCGGCGGGCGAGACGCCGGAGCACAGTGAGCTGAGCAGTGCCGTCCCGGCGCCCCGGGCCCAGCAGCCCCGGCTTTATGCCCCAGGGACACTCTCAAGGGGGCAGCGCGGTTGGTAATGACTGCAAACCCCATACCCGTCAGCAGCGGGGCAGACCGGCACGGGGACCACAGCACCGAGTGGCGCAGGGCCGCTGCGTGAAAGCCGTCGGGCACGGCCATCACCTGCCGTTCAGAAGGCAGCCAGGCACAGCGCTCAGGCGCGCTGGACAGCCTGCACAGAGCAGCACACTGTGACGGCTGCAAATGTCCGGAGGAGCGGCGCTGGGCAGCAGCCAGCGCTCTGGCGGGAAAGGGCACCCAGGGCTTCCGGGAGGTCTGTGCTTTGCCGAGAAGACAGTCATGCCAAGGTTTCTGTGTGTTGTGTGTTCTGCACATTAAACGTTATTGTTTCCCATAGGAGAGCCGAGCAGCCTCTAACACCTACGGTCTATATTCAAATAGGCAGGGGACACTAGCGCTCTGTTCCTGGTACAGCCAGGAAGAAGCCAGAAACGTCAAGGTCAATCAGTGCTTTTCCAGCAAGAGCCGAACGGAGTCTGCTGGGTCAGCAAACTCTTTGCCAAACAGCTGTCCGCTCACTTAAGCAAGCCTCCTAATTAGAATTTAGTATTGATGTTTCCCATGATTAATCTCAATGCTCCACACTATCTTCAGGATATCCAAATAAACAGTTTTCTTTAAAAGAACTGACGGGGCCCTGGCCGGTGGCTCAGTGGGCCGGAGCGTCATCCCATACACCAAAACATCTCGGGTTCGATTCCCGGCCAGGATACATACCTGGGTTTTGGGTTCGACCCCCGGTAGGGGTGAGTATCCGGGGAGGCGGCTGATAGATGTTTCTCTCTCCCCCTTCCTCTCTCTCTAAAATCAGTAAGAACATATCATGGGGGGAGGATTAATATATAAATAAAAAGAACTGAAGTGGAGCCTTAGCCGGTTTGCTCAGTGGATAGAGCGTCAGCCTGCAGACTGAAGGGTCCTGGGTTCGATTCCGGTAAAAGGCACATGCTGGGGTTGCAGGCTCTGTCCCCAGTAGGGGGCATGCAGGAGGCAACCGATCAATGATTCTCTCTCATTGATATTTCTCTTTCTCTCCCTTCCTCTCTGAAATCAATAAAAATGGTGTTGTTTTTTTTTAAAAGAACTGAAGTGGAACACTTTTTTATGCATCATCATGCACTCCTCTGTATTATTTTATTGTTCACTGTTAGACCTTGTGTTTTTCCTTTTTTAAGGAATCCAAGATGGGGGAAACCAAGGTGGTGGCATAGGTAAACACCAGAGTTTGCTGCCTCGCACAACAACTTCAAAAATACAACTAAAAGACGGAACGGACATCATCCAGAACCACAGGAAGGCTGGCTGAGTGGAAATTCTACAACTAGAAGCAAAGAGAAAAGCATACCGAGACTCAGAGGAGGAGTGGTGCAGAAGTAAAATACTAAGGTACAGAGGCGCACGCGGAGTGGGCTGGAGGCTGAGGGCACGGTTGTCTTTTGCAATCGGGAGGGAGTCTCAGGCTCTGAGCTCCAGTTCCGGGCGAGTCTCTGGGGACCCAGACTCATACGGGAGAAGCGGGACTGTCTGGCATTGGTTGGAACTCAAGGGCAGCTTTCTCTCAGAGGTGCTTGCAGCGATTACCGGGACACTGAGAAACAGAGCCTCTGAGGGCAGGACTGAGAGCAGCCATAACTGCTCGCACCGCCCTGTTGATTCCGTGGGACCCACCCCGCCCAAGCCCTGAACGGAGGCTTTTGCTGGGTAGCCTCAGGCACAGGCTAGATTAGCACCTCCCTAGAGATCCAGGAGCTGGTGTGCCCGGTGGTCAGAGTGGGACCATCCAGTTTGCAGCTCCTCGGATCAATAAAGGACACACTCAGGGGGCAGACTCAGTGAGCACAAAAGCCCCACTGAAGCAAGTCTTGCCCCAGAGGGGTGTCTCCAGCACAGAAGTTCTCCCACTGCAGGCACAGCTGATTCTCACAGCCAATTGGCCTGGAGGTCAATTCCTCCCAGTGATACCTACAATAAGACTGTGCACAAAGACCACAAGGGGATGCACCAAGAGTGTCCTCCTCAGGTAATTGGGGAGGCTGAGCCACTGGGCCCTAGAGGACACTTAGCACAGAAAACCACTTTATCAACACAGGGAAGCATAAAAAATGCAGAGACAAAGAAACAGGACACAAATGACAGACATGGAGGAAAGCAAGCTACTGGATATAGAGTTGAAAACCACACTTTTAAGGTTTTTCAAGAACTTTCTAGAAGCTGCCGATAAATTTAGTAACACCCTCAAAAAGACTGGTGAGACCGCCGATAAATGTAGTGAGATCCTCGAGAAATCTAGTCAGACCCTCGATGTTATGATAAAGGACCAACTGGAAATTAAGCATGCACTGACTGAAATAGAGGATATTATACAGACTCCCAACAGCAGACTAGAGGATCGCAAGAATCAAGTCAAAGATTTGAAATACGAAGAAGCAAAAAACACCCAACCGGAAAAGCAAAATGAAAAAATAATCCCAAAATACGAAGATAGTGTAAGGAGCCTCTGGGACAACTTCAAATGTACCATCATCCAAATTATAGGGGTGCCAGAAGAAGAGAGAGAGCAAGATATTGAAAACCTATTTGAAGAAATAATGACAGAAAACTTCCCCTACCTGGTGAAAGAAATAGGCTTACAAGTCCAGGAAGCACAGAGAACCCCAAACAAAAGGAATCCAAAGAGGACCACACCAAGACACATCATAATTAAAATGCCAAGAGCAAAAGACAAAGAGAGAATCTTAAAAGCAGCAAGAGAAAAAAAGTCAGTTACCTACAAGGGAGTACCCATACAACTGTCAGCTGATTTCTCAACAGAAACTTTGCAGGCCAGAAGGGAGTGGCAAGAAATATTCAAAGTGATGAATACCAAGAACCTACAACCAAGATTACTTTATCCAGCAAAGCTATCATTCAGAATTGAAGGTCAGATAAAGAGTTTCACAGATAAGAAAAAGCTAAAGGAGTTCATCACCACCAAACCAGTATTATATGAAATGCTGAAAGGTATCCTTTAAGAAGAGGAAGAAGAAGAAAAAGGTAAAGATACAAATTATGAAAAACAAATACACATCTATCAACAAGTGAATCTAAAAATCAAGTGAATAAATAATCTGATGAACAGAATGAACTGGTGATTATAATAGAATCAGGGGCATAGAAAGGGAGTGGACTGACTATTCTTGGTGGGGAAAGGAGTGAGGGGGATGCGGGAAGAGACTAGACAAAAATCGTGCACCTATGGATGAGGACAGTGGTGGGGGGTGAGGGCGGAGGGTGGGGTGGGAACTGGGTGAGGGGAGTTATGGGGGGAAAAAAGAGGAACAAATGTAATAATCTCAACAATAAAGATTTAATAAAAAAAAAAGAAGAATCTAAGAAACCCATGACTTCCCCTCACCAAACTATAGGGGGCAATGTCCTTGCAAGAACCTCGCTTGAGAAGGTCGCTGAGGGCCCATGGAGCCCGGTGCACAGCCTCTCAGGGGAGCAACCAGATGCAGTGTGTGTTCACCCTCCCCCTGCGGCACTCCTGCGGTCAGAGAGGAGCACTCAGCCGGGGGCTGGAAGCGAAGGGGAGCTGCCCTGCGCCTGGGGAGCAGCTGGTCAAGAAGCAGAGCAACCTGCAGAGGGTCTCCCAGTGACGTACCCCGAGGATCGCGGAGGTCCTCTCCAAGGCTTCCTTGTTCACCCGAATGCTGTGGCTTTCCATCACTGGGTTCCAAACCAAAGCAAAGCGTCTGCGTCAATGACTCATTCTGTGAGACGCGGGGCAGGGAGCGAGCCGCATCCCTGAAGAGGGTAGTGATGCCAGCGCGGCCGCAAGCACACTCCACCAAGTGCCCCTTAGGGCCAGCAGTGGTGGCCGTGGGCGTGGGACACGTGCTGGATGGATAGCTGCGCCTGCCGTCAGGGCGCCGGGCGGGGCTCTGCTCTGCTCCCCAGCAGGGCCTGCGCAGAGGAGGGCCTGCCGCAGATCCCCGGGGCAGGGGTGGGGAACCCTTTTCCTGCCAAGGGCCATGTGGATATTTATAACATCATTCCCGGGCCACACAAAATTATCCACTTAAAAGTTAGCCTGCTCATTTGGTCAAACATTTACTAGTAATTAACTGATCCTCAATGCCTTGGCAGGGCCAGACCAAATGACTTCTTGGGCCTTCTACGGCCCGCGGGCAGGATGTTCCCCACCCCTGCCCTAGGGGGTTCTCATACAGGGGTAAAGGACAGCAGCCCAGGACCCCACAACTACTGACATTGCAGGCTCCGCCCCATGAGGCTGCTCTCAGGATCGAGGGACTCAGGAGGGCGGTGGTCCCTGGGCCAGGGCACCCAGATCCAGACAATACAAAAGAGACCCATAGGACCGGACGTCAGAACCGCCTGGTCCCTCTACACCAGAGGTGATGCGGTCCAAGCCCTCGTTACAGAAAGGGAAATAAAGGGCTGGCCACCTCGTCAGGGCCGTGTGATCCTTACCTGCCCCGAAATAAGCTGAGAGAGAAACAGTCGTCCCCAAACAATGTAAAGAACTTCACTAGTGCACTTTCTCTAGAAAGATGACTGTGCATCAGCTTCAGGTAGCTTACCTGCCAAAATGGGTATCAGAGGAAGCTCCAAGGTACAAAACAGCTGCCATAAACCGTAAGCCTGTCTCACAGGAGGAAACATTCCTGCTATGGAGGCTGCATGTCGCTCAGCGGCCTCCCGCCTCGCTGAGCGCACCGGGCTCCTCCTCAGCGGACGGACTGGCCTCCCACCCAGGGGCCCCCTCCCCCTCAGGTGCCCTACTGTATCGCCCAGACCTGCTGGGACCGTGAGAAACAGGAGAACACGCCCACTCCCCATTTCCCTGCATCTTTCTCATTTTTATGTGATCTGGCATTTGCGGACTTTCAGTCTTCCATTGCCACGTTCACCGCAGCACTAGAAATGCTATAACTGCTGTCGACCCACAGAGAACATTCAGGAACTTCAGGTCTCATCAGCTGGACTACCGTTTCCCGAGGGAAGGGGGGTAACATGGCCTCAGGACTCGGCGTCATGTGCTGCATATCCCACACGGCGGGCACTGCTCCTGCGCGTGTGGGTGCAAATGCCAGGCAGTGGACGGCAGTGGGCAGGGCGTCGCCCCAGAAGCTACAACACGCTTGCCTTCAGCTGAGAACAGAGGTCCATCGTAAGCCTGTGGAGGACCCTCAGGTTCGCACATACATTCTGATTCTGTAAAAGATCAAAAGAATGAAAAATTAGGCAACCTTGGCTGAAATGATCGTCACAATCTAGGAAGTAACACAACCCACGGGAATGCTTGCTGGCAGCTGTCACACATCTGTGGCGTCACCCACCAATGACTCCAAGTAGACGGGTCCCATGCTGAGGAACGCACTTCCTATTGGGCAAATGAAAGCTTCTGGCCACCGGACACTTCCTCCTCAACCCAGTCTCCCCCTCGTCCCAGAGGCATGAGGCACAAGGAAGCCCAACATGTGAGGAGTACTGGGTGGCAGAGACAGGAGGACGCGGCCTGGCCTCGGGCTCCCACACCTCCACCCCCCACGAGGGAGCAGAGGGAGCAGAGGAGCCATGCCGCCATCCAGTCCCTGCCATTCTCACCCGGGTCCACACACAGGGGCCCAGGAGGGGGACAGAGTCTGTGTTCAACTGACAAACAGGCTGGTGGGATGAGCCACAGCGCCCCCACCTGTCTAATTCTCCTTCCTGCCGCCTAGATGCTGGGTGGGTTGGCCTGGTCTCTCTGGCCTGGGCCCCATGGTAGATGAGGCAGGACTGGGTTAAGACTGGATGGGAGCACTAGGAGTGCTGCCATGACCACTTCTCAGCCACCGCCTGGCAGGTGGCCACACTGCTGCCCGCATGAGCGTCTACACGGCATGCTGACCAGGGCTCCCTCTCCAAGCAGTTCCCAACCCGAAGCTCCGCGGACCAGCTCCAGCTCCATGGGGGCCCAGCCCCCACATCTCCTCCTCCTCCTCCTCCTCCTCCTCCTCCCTGGGACCCTGCTGCTCCCCTCCAGGAGCTGCTCTTCTCCTGATTCCTGACTCCCCCCTCCCCCACCAAGCTGTCCCGCCCCTGACCCTCCCTGAGCTGTCACAGCCCCTGAGAGCAGCTCCACCTCACCCCACCTGTGAGCAGTGCAGGTTCCACAATGGCCGTGGTTGGACAATAGGACAAGGCAGCTCCTGAGGGGCTGGTGCGGGTGAGGCCTGGGGGAGCTCCGGGTGGGACTGGAGGGTGCGGGCCACAGGCTGGGGGGCTGAGAGGACCAGCCCATAGCAGTCAGGGAAAGGCAGGCCCTCTGGGCTGGCGCTCTGTTCCCGCAGCCACTCCCTCCCCAACTCATTCCTTATAAGAGAAGGGACCCAGACCCGAGGGTCCTTGATCCCCGCTGTGAACCATGGTCTCCCCGACCCGGGCGAGGCATCTGCGCTGACCTTCCTGTACCCCACTCCCCCCGGAAGAGGGACTGAGCCTGGGGTGGATCTCAGTACGAGGATCTCAGCTCTGTCGGGGCCAGCATGGGATCTGGGAGGACTGCTCATCGCATGCCCTCCCTCCCCTCCACCGGCCAAACCAGTGACACAGTGACAGAAGGGACACGTGACAGAGTGTGTTCACTGGCCCGGCCTGAGGCTCTGGCTCCCTGGGTCCTCAGAGCCACCTGGCTCCTGTCCCCAAGGCCTGAGTCTGCTTCCCTCGGGGAGTCTGTGAACGACCCCGCAGCCCTCTGACCAATGCTTTAATTAGGGGACAGTGAGCCCCCGTGAGACACAGTCTGTGGGATGCAGGGCAGGAAGCAAGCATCCCCAGCTCCGGCGGGTAGGCACGGCAGGCTCACACCACCACCTGCTCCCCAGGTTGCCACCTCAACATCGGTGCCTCTCCCTCCCACCCCCCCAAACCCTCAGCATGTTCTAGTCGTGCTTTTGATAGGGGCAGAAATAGAATACTGGGGACCAGCTATAATTGTAAGAAATATTAATCATGCTCTGTTAACTGTGATTGTCTTGTTCTGATTAAAGAAGCACATTCTAACCTGGCCGGGGGGTTGCACGTGGGACCTGGGAGCTCACCTGGAAATGCAGCCCACCCTCCCCATCTGGGAGCTGCCTGTTATCATGGAAACATTAACAACCTTGCAGAAGCCAGAATCGCCTGCCCTTTGCAGACCCCAGGCACCTGTAAACTGCCCACGTGGCACACCCTTTGCCTACTCCCCATGTAATCTTTGTCCTTCTACCCAATATAAGCAGCTGGCTTGTGGGGAGGGCAGAGCAGAGCAGGTTTTTGTGCCTGACCTGCTGCTCCCCATGCGGCCGGCAGTTTTGGAATAAACACTCATATAGGATTCAACCCTGTCTCTGTTTTAATTGGCTCAAGTAGTGACAGCAGCCGGACCCACTGACGGTCTGGTTCCAGTTCCTCACTATTGGGTGCATCTCCAGAGGCGGCCATGGACTGCGGAGTGGCCGCCCGGGCCCTCTGCCGCAGCTGCCGCCTCACCGGCGCTAAGAATGTATAAACAAGCAGCTCTGCTCCCGGAGCAGGCGACTCCCTGACACCAGAGTCCATTGGGAAGGTCACCCCGCGAATGGTTTTCCCAGGAACAGTTTCACGAAGGAGCAGAAATCGCCGTCCTTATTCATATCTACCCGAAACGCCAGGGCACAAAGCATCTGGGCCGCATAAGTCAAAGCGAACAGCAGCGACATTCTTTTTAGTGTTGGGCTATCTCTGAAGTCAGTAGAAAGAGTTTCTTTAGAAAAATTAGGGCTGTATTGCCCTGGCAGGTTTTTCTCAGTGGTTAGAGCATTGGCCTGTGGACTGAAAGGTTGCAGGTTCAATTCCCATTTAAGGGACATTCCGTTGCCTGTTGGTTGGGGGAGTGTGCAGGAGGTCACCCGTCGATGTGTCTCTCTCACATCAATGTTTCTCTCTCCCCCTCCTCTCCCCTCTCTTTCACTCTCTAAAACATCAAGGGGAAAAATATCCTCAGATGAGGATTAAAATTAGGGTTGTATTAAAGTTGATAAAATCTTATCTGAAAACAACTCACCACAGTATTTCTTGAGGAATTCCCGTACGTGCTGCTCACTTTCACCGCGACGGCGTTTCCGAAGGATTTCGCCACTAAATCCTCAAAAGAGGGTGCGGCCTCACGAGGATCTATAAGCCAAGCGGCAACCCTAGGGTCCAGCCCGACAAAGCCAGCCACTGAGGGGAGAAAGCTCGTTCAGCCGTGACAGGATAGAGGCACTTACTTTTCTCTGCTTTTACACGTTTCTCACGGTTCAGATTAATGATCATAATTCTACCATCCCCTCAAGTTACAGGGCTAAGGACCAAGCGATGTTCTGTCAATACTAAGGAATTCTGAGCCTTGGATAAGTGGCCTCCACAAACCCAGGTCCCACAAGGCCACTCTCATGGGATTTGATCCCAAATGCCCAGAGGCGTGGAGACTCCACACTAACTTGGATTTGGATCTCTCAAACGTTAAAAGAGATCGAAGTCAGAATCCTCAGCCACACTGCCTGCCTCCTTTCTCCCCTTTCCCGCCTGCCCCCAAGGTTCTCACTGCCCGCAGCCTTCCTACTTGTCAACGTAACCACTCTTTCCAAGCCTCCCCTCCTCCAGCCTCTGGCCTCTCGCCGGGCTGCCTTCCCAGGCCATCCCGGCCCCTGCATGGCATGGCATCGGGGTGTTCAGGAACCCAAGTATCCTGGGCAGCAGGCAGAGTGGTGAGGAGCTGCCTGAGCACACAGCTTCGCCTTCTGGGGAGGCGGGCATGGAGGGCAAGGACAAGATGCTGGGCACGCTGGGCATGTGCCCTGCCCGACACCCTGTGGCAGCTGGATGTGTGAAAAGAGCAGCGAGACCAGCCTGGGGGACTGGGAGGTCATGCCCCCCAAGTGTTAGTTTCCCCTCTGAAAACCGAGGGCAGAGTCCTGTGTGTATGTGCGAGACATGAGGAGGTGCTTTTTACAAAGCAAGAGCGGCACCTGCTACATGGGTGCATTTTTGTACCGGAGTATTTTAGGCACAGAGGGGGGTTACACAGGGCTGGGAAGCTGATAAATTAAGAAACAGATCTGAACCCTAAAGGATTGCTTTTCAGGTTCCGTTAACAGCTTTAACTGTGCTGTACAAAAACAAGGCCTTGCCTTTAAGCAAGCTGAGTCTTGGGTCACATCACACTGGGTGTGTCTTCTGGCGTCGGCACACTGCTCGGCTAAGAGCTGATATTCACCTGAGCAGCCAGCCCTGGCGTCTGTGCTGCCGCCTGGGAAGCCTCTCACGCTGCGGTCTGGAGCTCTGGGCGAGAAAGGCGGCAGGCACGCTGGCTGCCTGCCCCCAAGCCAGCTAGGCATGACTTTACCTCACAGTGGCTGGTAATGTAACTGACCCCCTAGGGCTTTTTCATTCTATTTGCCTTCTCAAAGCTCTATTATTCCAAAATTAAGGCTTCTTACCCACATGTCTTTTGGAAAATCCTTGGGGGAGTCTGAGAGTGCCGGAATAGTGGGGTCTGGTCCCTATAAACTCCTGTACCGAGTAAACTGAAGCCTGCCAGGACAAACCCCACACGGGGGAGAAAATGCCAGGACTTGAGGAAGAAATGCCAACAAAATAGACTTTAAACAAACTAAGAAAATAATAAAATCTATGAAAAGTAAATAAATCAGAATTAGAAATACTTAGAAAGTAGGTGACTTAGAAAAACTGAACAAAAAAAATAAAAGAATTCAGGAAAGAGAAATACAAAATTTTTCAGAAATAAAAACTGGCATTACACAAAAGCAGATAAATGTAATAGATAATGCCTTCAGTTAAAAAAAAACAAAAAACAGAAAAGAGGAATTTTTTAAATAAAAAAGAAATAAAGAGATTGAAAATAGATTCTAGATAAAGTGGTAAATATGAAAGACAAGAAGAGTTAACATATGAATAGGAGTTCAAACATCACAAGAAAGATGAACAATCACCAGGATGTAGCTCCTGATAGGACACACCACTACAGAGGTCAGGGTTAGAGTCAGGGTCAGGGTCGGGTCAAGCTCTGCGTTATGCAGCAGCCTTGCCCTCCAGAAATCCAGCGAGAATCTGACCCAGCCTCTGGATCTAGCTGCCAATTTACAAGAAAGAGAGCCGAGAGGGGAGCATGTTAATTGGCAAGAAGGGGATGTAATTGCCAAGTCCAGACTGTGGGAAATCCCCAGGACAAGCAAGCTGGTTCCATCATCAACGACAAAATAACTGCAAGGATCTAAAACAGAGAAGAGAACATACAGAGTAGAAGAGACCTAAGAAATATATTGCACCTATCCCAGGTATGGCTCCCAATTCAAACAAACTGTAAAAAACAAAGACAAACAGACAGAAGTATTTAAGGACAACTGGAAAGTGCAAACACTGCCTGAACGTCTAATAATATTAGAAGAGGATTGCTAATGTGTGGGAGGTAACAGTGATGGCATCATCTCAGAAATGACAGCCTCGTATCTCGGTCGCGTGCTGAACCATTTCAGGCAATCTGCATCATGCTTGGGGTCACGATGCAGTAACCTAGGGCGGGCGCAGGCAGTGTGGGCCGTGCAAGGAAACAAGGCGGGAGGCGTGGTGATTGTTGACGAGGGGGCCTGCTGTTTCCACAGCGCCCCTGGCCGGCGGTGTGGGTTTCGCACCAGCTCCTCCAGCTCTCGGTGGGCACCTCAGCCCGGACACTGCGGAGTCGGTGCAGACCCCGCAGATTCAGGGCTCAGCCCCACAAGACTGTTCCTGCTTCAAGCACCAATCCCGGGTCCTGAGGCTCCCGTCCTCCCCACCGATCAGCCGTAACTTACCGTGCTTCCAGCTGCCATCATCACCCAGATACTGCAGCACGGTCCTCACAAAATCCTTAGCATTGAAACAAATCACAGGGCAGGTACATTTCAGGATCTGAAACAGCACGTTCCTAGAAGATGAAAAGACATTCATTGACTTAGACACTAATTAAGAACTTTTACCCTGAAAAAAATATTAGTACTACTCCACTGACAGCTAGCACTTACATAGTACTAGGTGCAGGCATTCTTCTAAGGGCTTTACATACATTAACTCAAAAATCCTGTGAGGTAGGTATGACCTCTTATCTGCGTTTTATAGGTGAGGAAGCTGAGACACAGAGAGGCTAAGGAATGAGCCAAGGGGACATAGCAGTTCAGGTGAAGCCCCATTACCCACAGACAAAGACCCAAATTCCCGAGCAGAGCACACACACTCTGGGCTCCTTACAGCCGGCCCAACAGGACTGCCCAGCCCGCGCCCCCAGCACGCCCTCCCCCCCCCCACTCTCCCCGCGGCTCACACGGAGTCCTCTGTCCTCCATCACCAGATTTTGCCGCGTCCCCTCACACTCGACCCACTGCTCATGCTGTGCTCTTGCCTAAAATCCTCCTCCCACTTCTGCAAGCTGCTCACGCTGCTCCAGGAGGGTCTGGCCAGCTTCCCCGCAGGGAGCCGCCCCTGTGCCCCTTCCCCGCTCCTGCCCGCCCAGCGGCTGCCGCGGGGACACAGCAGCTCGCCTGGAAACGCTCCCCCCATCACATCACGAGCTCCCGAACAGGCGGCTGCTAACAGCACTGGTTTATCGAGCACTTTCCATGCACAGATGGCACGCTACACACCTGAGAGGGACTGCTGCACTGAAACCTCCCCACAGGCCCTCAGGCAGGCATACGACCACTTACAGATAAGGAAACTGAGGCCCAGAGAGGGTAAGCCATTTTCCCAGCGTTACACATCTGGCAAGTGGCCAAGCTGAGGTCTGGGACTGGGTGTGGCTGCGCCCGGCCCAGGCTGCGGCCTCCCTTCGCGGTAACTGCGCATCAGCACGTAGTGCGGGCCTTCGGAGAGGCTGAGGGAGACAGGAACCCCAGCTCAACAGCTCTGCACACTGCGCCAACAGGTAGTTACGTTTTGCTTGGCTGGCCTCGCGGACAGACACTTTCAGGCTTTTTGCATTTTCTTTGCATTTCACCTGGATTTCTCTTCAAGAGGGAGGCGAGGATGGTAGGGAGGGCAAAGTGCCAACAGCTCAGGCCTGGCTCCGTGGGACTTGGGAGGGGTGCCCAGGAGGAGAGCTGGGAGAGGGGAGACGGCGCACAGGGAGCAGAGCTGGCCCAGGAGCTTCCTTTCCCGCTGATGCTCCCACACCCTGGGCACCCGCCAGTCCTTGGAGGGGCAGCTACTGACTACAACACCCCCACTGGTGAGATGCCGGCTCGCGGATTTCTATCCTAGAAGACAAACAACTAAAGGAATACCCTGAAAGGCAAAGTGGCTGAAGCAGTGTGTTTCATAAGTCGGTTATATAAGTGGGTTATGTCACACCTGCAAACAAAAAGGCAGCTAGGATATGGAAAGGCTAGAGCTGAAGGTGAAAATGAAGGCTTGGATTGAAACCTCAGACTGACCTATGACTCCCCCTCAGTCTGTTTCCTCATCTATAAGATGGAAATAACAAGCCCAAACACACACAGTTAATGTCAAGATTAAGAGAGAGCATGTATGTAAAAAGACCTTGCACGGGTATTTAATAAATGTTATTAAATTTGTATTATGCAAACATTTTTAAAAATTGATTTTAATCTCAAAGATGCTGTCGAAGACTTGGGATCATTCCACTGTATGGTATTTAAGGCAACGTTTTCATATAATTGTCCTGGACCTTACAAAAATTTAAACTCAATACTCATTCATTAATTAATAACATTGATTAAATATTTATTAGGCATACAGAATTAAAATGGCAATTAATAAGTACCTATTAATAATAACCTTAAATGTAAATGGATTAAATAATCCAATCAAAAGACATAGGGTAGCTGAATGGATACAAAAACATAACCCAACTATATGCTGTCTATAAGAGACCCACCTCAGAACAAAAGACTCACACAGGAAATGAGAATGAAGAGATGGAAAAAAATTTTCCATACAAATGGAAACGAAAAAAAAAAGCTGGGGTGGCAATACTCATATCTGACTAAATAGACTTCAAAATGAAGGCCATCACAAGAGACAGTAAGGTCACTACATAATATTAAAGGGATCGATCCAACAAGAGGATATAACCCTGTAAACATATAGGCACCCAATATAGGAGCACTTAAATATATAAAAACTTACAGAGGACCTTCAGAGAGAGATCGACAACAATAGTCATACTAGGGGACTTTAACGCCCCAGATCCAGAGACATAGAAGTAAGGAACAGACTAGAATCTCAGCGTGAAGGCGGGGGTGGGGGTGGGGGGTGGGTGGTGAGTGTGTGGGTGGATCTTCCCTCTGAGAACAACCGAAGAACGTGTATGCACATATACATAACCCACGGACACCAACGATAGGGTGGTGGAGGCCAGGGGCAGGGGTGGGCGGGCTATAAGGAAGAAAACGGGGGCATATGTAACACTTTCAACAAGAAAGATTTTTTTTAAAGCCCATGTTTTTACTATTTTTTTCCTGTTAATCTTCACCTAAGGATATTTCTTTCCATTGGTTTTTAGGAGAGTAAAAGGGAGGGGGAGAGACAGAGAGAGAGAAACATTGATGTGAGAGAGACACATCGATTAGTTGCCTCCCACATGTGCTCTGACCAGGGCTGGGGATTGAGCCTGCAACCGAGGTGCATGCCCTTGACTGGAATCGAACCCACAACCCTTCAGCCTGAAGATTTACGCTCTAACCACTGAGCTGAACCAGCTAGGGCAAGAGCCCATGTTTTTAGAGCTGCATCCTGAGACGTGACGTAAATGACATGTCAGGTATTTTCCTTAATCCCAGCCCCGTACTCCTCCCCTTCTGTTTGGATAACTGGCCTGGGTGAATGGGATATGGGCGTCATATTATTCTCTCTACTTTTGCATTTTCATAATTTGCTTTCTTGGTTTAAAAAAACATAAAGGAACGAGGCGGCCAGTTGTGCAGCGATCTGGGAGGACGCTGCAGGAGAGGAGCAGAGCAGCAAGGAGGTGGGTACAGGAACAGCAGGGAGAGGGGATGAGGCCCAAGGCGGTGGAGCAGCTGCAGGCTCTTGGGGGACTCTGGCTTTTCCTGAGAGCGACCAGGAGCTGTGGGAGGGTGTGGAGCGGGCGGTGGCGTGGCTGGTTTCTGTGTGGACAGGGCCTCTCCGGGTGCTGTGCCAAACAGACTGAAGACGGGGGAGGCGGGAGACCAGCTGGAAGCTCTCGCTGGGCCTGGGTCAGGAGGCAGGGCCTGCACCTCGGCTGCAGCAGGGGGAGAGGGGTCAGAGCGTAGCTATTTTGAAGGCAGAGCCAATGGGATTCACCGAGATTGGACGTAGAGAGACATTAAAGATGATGCCAAGACTGCCTGAGCCCACGGAGGGCTAATGCGGCCACGAGCCAGGAAGAGAGTGGTTGGGGGGCAGGTTTCAGGGAGACAGGAGGTCAGTGCTGCACATGTTCAGGCCGAAGTGACTGTTAGATGCCCAATGGAGAGTGTCACGTAGGACACAAAACCCAGAATTCAGAAGAGGCCATGCAAATACAGGGCTGTATCCGCACAGAGGCCTTCCACAGGACAGACCTGACTGACACCCTTTCGAAAGGAAATTACATAAAGGAAGGTTATGGGTTTCTTGGAAGCAGAGTGCTGTATCTGTCATTGTCCCATTCTCACCAAAAATTACTGTCGTGTAAGTGCCTGACATTCGCTTTTGATGGCATGGTATCCATTTTCAAAGACCTCCATCATGAACAGACGTGCTGCCAGCCGTAAGCCACAGCTCCTAGTGAACTAGCCACAAGGATCTAGGCCACCCCCACCCACGAAAGTCCCTCGCGCAGAAAGCCCTGGGCAACCTAGATAACTGACCGCACGAGTGACCCTGCTTTTCCCTTCCTGTGCCCTGACTCCCACTCTTAGGCGTCCATTAGCCAATAAAGAGTAAGCCCTCAAAACCCTAGGCACCCCCTCAGATGGGAAGCAAGGCAGAGCCCAGGTCCCTGCTCTCTCCCTCACACACAGCCTCGCTGGGTGGCCCTGGTGCAGCCGTGTTCCTTCCAGGACCATGAATAATACATATTCTTCCTCACAGTTTCCTGCCGCTGTTTGCAGAAGAGCGTCCTGTGATCACAGCAAGAACCACAGGGGCCGGTCCAGCCTCCATGTCGGGCCCTGTGGGGAAATGTCTGTGGAGGCTCCCCCCGTCGCACAGGCTGCGGGGAGTGTCTCAAACATTCCTGGCAGAGTGCATCCCTGCCCACAGGCTGGGGCTCACAGCAATGACCTAAAACTTGCCTGGAGCCCAGTGAGACTGGTTAGAGTTAGATGAAGGGCCAGGCCTAGGCCCCACTGTCTCACCCTGCGCCTCCTGGAACTCCTGTTCAGGGCAGCAGCTTCAAGGAACTCCCGCGGGGCCGCTAACTGGCCTGAACTCAGAGGCCTGGGCACACAGGAAGGGCATGTGCCCACCCAAGGTGGAAGCCCCAGCCAGGCTGACGCCACCAGGGAAGAAACCGGGAGGAGGGGCACAGGCTCCAACCCACAGCAGGATTCTCAGGACCGGGGAGGAGCACAGAAGCCCTCCTGTGGGAGCATTCTAGACACTGAGAGGGCAGGTGCGGCGACACTGTCCTGCCTACTTCCTCAGAATGAAGCTCTGAAATGAGCAGTATCTTGGTGGCATTGAGGACAGTTTGAGGTTCGAAGGAGTGACAACCTCACTTTCTGATACTGTCACTGAGTCAATGACCAGTGTGACGAGGAGAAGCACCTGGGACTTGGCAGTGACAGGGGTTTGGCCTGGGGTGATGGTTTTCTCACCAACTGCTCATTGAGATGCTGATTCAAGTCCTGAAGCAGGTCCCCACGGACGTTCTTTGCGTGTGGGGGGGGGGGGGGCGCGGGGAGGACCAGTGTAGGTTTCTGTCTTTTAGATCCATTTTATTTTCCTGGGCCCATACGAAATGTCTTAAAGTTTAAACAATTACAGGTGAAGCTTGGGAAACTAAACTGGGATAAATCAGGCAGGTACGTAGACTTCAGGAGAATGAGTAAGCTTTTCTCACCTGGCAAATTGATTATGTGCTTCTTGTTCTTGGCTCCAAACAGCAGACTGCACCGTTTCTATGTAGATGCACCAATCGCTGGGTCTGACTCCTGCCTCCAGAACACGGCCAGGGGCTGAGGCAGCCGGAGGACCACAGCCTTCTGTGTGGCTCTGTAGCAACATCACAATTCCTTTCACAGAGGAAACTAGAGCCTATGAATAGACAATGAAATAAAGTTTCAATATTAAACATAGACAATATGTTTATTCAAGAAAGATATGTCATATTCTATCATTAAAAAGACAGAAAAGGGCCCTAACTGGTTTGGCTCAGTGGATAGAGCATTGGCCTGCGGACTCAAGGGTCCCAGGTTCGATTCCAGTCAAGGGCATGTACCTTGGTTGCGGGCACATCCCCAGTAGGGAATGTGCAGGAGGCAGCTGATCGATGTTTCTCTCTCATCGATGTTTCTAACTCTCTATCCCTCTCCTTTCCTCTCTGTAAAAATCAATAAAAGATATATTTTTAAAAAAGACAGAAAAGGCCTAAAGTTAAATTTGTCAATGAACAGCTCTTTAATAACAATCAAGGCCAGAAACCAGGCCCATGATCTTATGCTGGGGTCCCACCCCAGCAGGTCCAGGGGTCCCCAAAGGTGTGGACGGAGTCAGCGAAGAAGGAATGACACGGAGACAGTGTTCAGTTGATCAGCAGCCTAGCCAGGATCTCTAGCCAAGTTCTGGTCAGGGTCTCCAGCGAAGTTCTGGTTAGGATCTCCAGCCAGGTTCTGTAGCCATGTTCTCTCGCTAGGTTCTCCAGCCAGGTTCTGTCCAGGTTCTCCAGCCAGGTTCAGTCACCAGGTTCTAGTCAGGTTCTCTTGCCATGTTCTATCCAGGTTCTGTAGCCAGGTTCTGTCTCTAGGATCTTCAGCCAGGTTCTCTCGCTAGGTTCTATCTCTAGGTTCTGTGGCCAGTTTCTGTCCAGGATCTTTTGCCATGTTCTCTCCAGCGAAGTTCTTCTGTCTCTAGGTTCTGTGTAGGTTCTGTGTCTGGGTTCTGTATCCTGTTGTCTTGTTACATCTGTATTTATACCAGTTGATTCCAATCCTATCAATCTCTATTCCAAAGGTTAGGGCGTTTCTTATCTCCATTCCAGGGAGTAAAGATTATGTAGCTTGAGCATGATTGTTCGTAGTTAAAGTGATTAACTACCCGCCTGGCACTTACTTAAGGGGTTTTATTCCCTCCCTAACTTCAGGGGAAAATCCCTACCTGGGGAAACAACCTTTCTCAGAGAGGTGACCTTGGTTAAAACACATAGTGCCAAGAAGGTGAGCAAACATATTAAGAGCAGTATGGCATATATGCCAGGTCCCTTGAAACAGCAAGCATGGACCGGCTCCCGGCAATCTTACTCTCCAAATCTAGTCTCCTTCTGTTGTGCCCAGATTTCAAGATTCCCAAGAACCCACAGGGAGCCAGCGAGTCCGATGCAAAAGCAAAGAGTCATTTATTTCAAACCTAGGTTTGGCTCCCCTGCCCCCCTTACTGGCACAGCAGCAGGTGGCAGAGAGAGAGAAAACTCTGTGTGGAGAGAGGTTTTATAGGGGGTTGGGGTAAGGGGAGGAGAAAGGACTGTGGGCTCTGCCGATTGGCCAGGCGCGAGTCGGTGTCTCATTACACAGGATGTGGTCATAGTGACGGTGTGCACTTCCCTTGACTATCATTGGCCAGTCCAGAGAAATCCTGGGCGTGGCCAGCATCGGCTTGGCTTCCAGGAAGAAGCCTTGCTGAGCACATGGCCAAGGTAAGATGGAGGGCATAGCCCTTACCCTGGGGCAAGGTGGAGGGCGTAGCCCTTACCTTGGGGCAAGGTGGAGGGCGTAGTCCTCGCCCTTTCACTTCCTATTTACCATCAAAATATAAGTCTTAGCCAGTGCTAAGGATACAACAGGAAAGAGAAATAAAAGACATATAAATCAGAAAGGAAGAATTATACTGTCTCTATTTACAGATGATACAACTGTCTGCATAGAAAACCCAAAGGAATCTACAGAAAAACTTACCAAGGTTGCAGGATACAAGATCAAAACAATAAAACCAATTGCATTCTGATACACTAACAATAACATGTTCATCTATAATAAGCTCAACAATAAAGATTAAAAAAAATAAACATGTAAAACTGAACTTGTATAAAAATTATCGTTTTTAATAATTATTCTAAAAAATGAAATACTTAGGAATCATCATAATATGTACAGGATGTATATGCTGAAAGTCACAAAACACTGGTGAAAGAAATCAGAGAAGACCTAAGTAACTGAGAGACATACCATGCTCAAAGATTACAAAACCTGAAATAATAAAAATGTCATTCATGTCCCACCTGGAGTACCAAAAACTGAATGTCAATTTTCCCAAGTTAATCTGTAGAACCAAGAAGATCAACACACCCCAAGTACAAAAAACATAAAGAAAATTACATCCCTATGCTCATAGCAGCATTATTTACAATAGCCAAGATCTGGAAACAGCCCAAGTGCCCATCAGCAGATGAGTGGAAACAAAAGTTGTGGTATACTTAAAACCATGGAATACTATCTTCTATCTATATAAAATCCTAATATTCAAATCAACTAAACGGTGGAATGACCGGTCGCTATGACGTGCACTGACCACTAGGGGGCAGACACTCAATGTAGGAGCTGCCCCCAGTCGCAGGCCCTGACTGGTGGTGGCGGGGGACAGGGCCGGCAAGCCGACAGCGCCAGAACAGCCAAGGCAGGTGCAAGCAGGGAGGACCCCCACCATCGCCCTGCTGGTCACCCTACAGAGGGAGGCGACTGGCGGCGGTGGCGAGGGGAGGGGCCAGCGAGCAGGCAGCGCTAGGTCAAGGTGGGTGTGAGTGGGAGCCCCAATCACCCCGCCAGTCAACCCACAGATCGGCCCTGATCTCCAGCCAGGCCTAGGGACCCTACCTGTGCACAAATTTCCTGCACTAGCCTCTAGTGCTGTGGTTCTCAACCTGTGGGTCGTGACCCCTTTGGGGGTCGAATGACCCTTTCACAGGGGTCGCCTAAGACCATCGGAAAACACATATATAATTACATATTGTTTTTGTGATTAATCACTATGCTTTAATGATGTTCAATTTGTAACAATGAAAATACATCCTGCATATCAGATATTTACATTACGATTCATAACAGTAGCAAAATTACAGTTATGAAGTAGCAACGAAAATAATTTTATGGTTGAGGGTCACCATAACATGAGGAACTGTATTAAAGGGTCGCGGAATTAGGAAGGTTGAGAACCACTGCTCTAGTGTGATTATGAAAAAGAAGGAACTCTTATTCTTTGCAATAGCATGGATAGACCTAGATAGTATTATGCTAAGTAAAATAAGTCACTCAAAGAAAGACAAATACCATATGATATCATTGATATGTGGAATCTAATGAACAAAATAAACTGACGAACAAAATGGAACCAGAAGCATGGAAACATGGAACATACCGGCAGGTCCCAGAGGGGAGGGGTGTGGGGGTGACTGGATAAAGAAGGTAAAGAGATTGGCTAAAGAACATATATGCATTTCCCACGGACATGGACAACAGTGTGGTGAAGGCCAAGGCAGGGGAGGCGGGGGTGGGTGGAGGTGGGAAAAGGGGTGAAAATTCGGGGACCTCTACAATAGTTAAAAAAACTTTTCATTTTAAAAAATGAGCAAAAGATTTGAATGGACCATTTACCAAAGAAGATGTACAAATGTCCAATCAGCACATGAGAAGATGCTCAATGTCATCATATATTAGGGAAATGCCATTTAAAACCAAAATGAAACACCATGTCACATCCACTCAAATGACTAAAATAAAAAAAGACCACCTTAGCCAGTTTAGCTCAGTGGATAGAGTGGCAGCCTGTGGACTGAAGGGTCCTGGGTTCAATTCTGATCAATGATTCTCTTTCATCGTTGATGTTTCCCTCTCTCTCTCTCTCTCTCTCTCTCTCTCTCTCTCTCTCCTTTCCTCTCTGAAATCAATAAAAATATATTTTAAAAAACACTATGCATTATCAATAAAATCTTATTTCTAGCTCTCCCATTAAAATCAGACACTAGAAACATGGGTTTCTCTTATGGTGCCAGAAAAACAAAACAAACAAAAGCCACACGGTTTACTAACCTGGTCAGCTCTTAGTTGGGTTGAACCATCCTTGTACATCAGAGTTACCACCAGGGATACTGCCTGTCTGAGCATTTCGATCAGCTGGCTTTTCTCCAAATCATCCAAATGCCTGATGTCACAGAACTGGTTTCTGAACGCCCCCGAGTTCCCGGAATTCAGGGCGGCTTCTACCTCCTCAGCATCTTCTTTCAATGCTGTATGTTTACTCATTTTCTCCGGTGAATTATGACATGTAATATGTTTTCTTTTAAGATTCATGTTTTCTTTATTTTCATTATTTAGATATTGTTTTAGGAAGTGTTTTCTTTTATGTTCCTTCTCCTGTAGAACTGAAGCCGCTTGGTTACACTGTGGAGTTGGACAGCTGGAAGGAGCCCATGAGCTGATGTTCTGTCTTTGCTCAGTAAACAGCTGATCTGTGAGTCTGATACTGGAGGACTGAGAGAGTCTGAGGGAAGCACTTGATGTCTGGCTTGTGAAAGAATGAAGATCCTATGGAAAAGTGGAAAACATTTCATTAGCATATGGATCTGTAAGACAGAGATCTATAAGGCGCATCTAAAGTGAAGTGGGAACACAGCTTCGCATTCTAGATCCAGCTGTCTAGTGAATGACACAGTGTCTTCCAGAGCAGACACCCTTTCAACCCAGGCAGGAGCACATGTGTGAATCACAGGCGGGAGCTCAAAAAATCTGCAACCACAGCCTGTGCAGGACTTGTGCAAGTGACCAGAGAAGCCATGGACAGGAGTAAGTTCAGATGTGCAGAAGACTGAAGGTTAAAAATTCACAACTTCCGCCCTAACCGGTTTGGCTCAGTGGATAGAGCATCGGCCTGCAGACTCAAGGGTCCCAGGTTCGATGCCGGTCAAGGGCATGTACCTTGGTTGCAGGCACATACCCAGTGGGGAGTGTGCAGGAGGCAGCTGATCAATGTTTCTCTCTCATCGATGTTTCTAACTCTCTATCCCTCTCCCTTCCTCTCTGTAAAAAATCAATAAAATATATTTTTTAAAAAATTCACAACTTCCAAGTAAAGGTCTTTATAGAGAAACTGAAACTGCCACAACTATTTGATATGTTAATCTATCTACTAAAAATTTATTTAAAATATGGCTCAGCAGCAAGACTCTGCCTCGATCTAGCAGTATGTGATGTCCATTCAAAGAATCACAGACCAACTGAGCGGGGGGGGGGGGAGAGGGGGGGAGCTATGCCTATCCATTTCATTATGGGATTCATGTACAATAAAATGTTATTTTAACGTTTATTTTTTAGGTTTTATGATATATTTATGTTGTTTTAAACAACCATATACTAATAGTACTTTTAAATAATTTTGAAAGAAAAGTTTTAACACTTGGTAATAGGATCACAGAAAAGTTTAATATATGCTCATTTGTATAGTAGAGAAGTATTATGAAGTTTTCAAGCAGAGATTTTCAAGCGTAACATTATATTACATTATAAATCTGTGGAGGTGTATACAAAGAAAGGAGTGCAGCCCAGCCAGTGTGGCTCAGTGGCTGAACATCGACCCAGGAACCGAGAGGTCACCATTCGATTCCCGGTCAGGACTTGATCCCCAGTGCGGGGTGTGCAGTAGGCAGCCAATCTATGATGCTTCTTTCTCATTGATGTTTCCATCTCTCTATCCCTCTCCCTTCTTCTCTCTCTAAAAATCAATAGAAATTTTTTTTTTTTAAAAAGGCATTTATGGAGAAAAGGAAAGTTTAAAAATTCAGATTGTTGAAGAATGTCTTGCTGAAGTATTTTTTTAAAAGGATGATTATGGGTGATAAGTTACCAGGGTATAGGAAGTATTTAGATTTTAGTGGATATATTCTAGACCAGCCGTGGGCAAACTATGGCCCGCGGGCCAGATCCGGCCCGTTTGAAATGAATAAAACTATTGAAAAAAAAGACCGTACCCTTTTATATAATGATGTTTACTTTGAATTTATATTAGTTCACACAAACACTCCATCCATGCTTTTGTTCCAGAGCTCCGGTCTAGTTTAAGAACCCATTGTGGCCCTCGAGTCAAAAAGTTTGCCCACCCCTGTTCTAGACAATGACATACAGTTTTTAAAATGTCAATATTATCAATACACCAGAAATCATACCCCATGAAACTTACAAAATTTGTGATGAACCCTTTAAATGTCAACTTAGAAATGGCAGAAGGTCCATGTCTTTTCAAAATTCTTTAGAGAGAAAGGACACAAAAATGTTTGAGGACCTCTGCCTCCGGGATCCAAGAAGCACAGTTTGAACACCGTGGAGAGAGCACTCCCACTCCCTTACTAACCCGTTTTCTGTCAAAGGCATCTCTCCCTCTACTTCCGGGTAAATTATCACCCTGGCAACCCAGGAACAACCCAGGGACGGGTCCTATTTAACTACAGGGAGTTGAGATTACATCAAGTTGGCCTGGGATTTGAACATAGTAGCTGGCTTCACAGTTCATTCCCTTAACCACTGTGCGGCCTCCACCTGTTTCATAGACGAGGCCTGTAGTGATATGGCCTCTTCTCTCTCTCCCCTCAAGCCCAAACCATGTAATGCCTACTGTGAATTTTATGCCCGTTCCTTTCTGAACTTCTCTTTATTTCCACTATCCAAAAGTTTCAAGCTCTCTTCCCTTAATCTGAAAAGCGTTCTCAGAGTCCTTCCCCAACTCTCTAATGGCTGACCATCTCCTAATCACACTTTAGATATCAACTCAGGTATAATTTTCATAATTAAAAGAAAGACATCCCAGACTTCTCTTCATACCACCCAGAAAAAGCCAGCTGGAATAGCACAAAGCCTGGGTTAGATGACTCTCCTGCTGTTTGGAACTGACTTCCTCGTGACACTTAACACACCTTGTCGTAGAAACCCTTCATACTTCTGTCTTCCTCTTCTCCTCATATGAATTAACCCAAAAGCTCCTGAAGAACAATATCCACCCCCCCCCCCAACTTTTAAAAACCACTGTATTGCCCGGCTGCAGTGCCCCAATGGTTGAGCAGGAAGTCACGGTCTGATTTCCAGTCAGGACACATGCCTGGGTGCAGGTTTGATCCCAGTGTGGAGCATGCAGGAGACAGCCGATCAATGGTTCTCCCTCATCACTGATGTTTCTATCTCTCTCTCTCCCTCTCCCTTCCTCTCTGAGATGAATAAAAATATGTTTAAAAACAAACCATTGTATCTACAGTGCCTAGCATATAGTAGACACTTAACATAACCTTCCATAAGCGAAGGTTATCTGTTATAATTATTCACATTTGTAATGACTTACCATTTTTTCCAGTGTTTGATTCTTCCCATCTTCAGGTAGTACTGAATACATAACACTGGGTTTGTTTACCACTTCTGCAGCTTTAAAAACACAAAAAAGAAACACGAGGCATTAACAAATCACTGAAATCTAAGTCACATAATCAGTGAATATTGAAAATAATCTCTACAGTTGTGCTACTTACTCATTATTTACTTACTTAAAACAACATAATAAAATTCACAATCAAAATGCCTAGTACCATGGTGAGGGACATTTTTATGTTAAGTATCTTCAAATTAACTGGAGGCAGATTCATGTAATCGTGAAATGTTTATTAAAATTACTACCTGGCATTTATATTTGAATAGTTGATTCTGAAAACGCTTGTAAGAAACCTAGTAAGTATTAAAGTTTTGAGGAAATTCTTAGGCTGAATAGTATTGCAATGGAACAATGAGAGATTCAGTAAAACATCATTACTACAAACTTCTGATTTAAATTTAGCTTTCTTTCATTTTAATAAGCCTGGGCTGATCAGTGTTAGAATGTGGATCCACCCCCAGGCAACATGACTCAGGAGTCTGTGCTCAAACCACTGTGATGTACGTTGCCTCTGTGGCAATGATAGATAACGACCAAGAAATGCAAATGAAGGGAACACTTTCACTTACAAAAAAAATGTTATACTTAGGATAAGTTTATAAGAAAGAGACTAGGCACTCAATGATTAAAACATAAAACCTTGCCCGTGGCTCAGTGATTGAGCATCGACCTATGAACCAGGAGGTCACGGTTCGATTCCCGGTCAGGGCACAAGCAAGGGTTGCGAGCTCAATCCCCAGTAGGGGACATGCAGGAGGCAGCCAATCAATGATTCTCTCTCATCATTGATGTTTCTATCTCTCTCTCCCTCTCCCTTCTTCTCTGAAATCAGTAAAAATATATTTTTGAAAAAGACCTTTTTAAAAAACACACCTTAAAATCTTATGAAATGGCATAAAACAATATCTATGCAAATGGAAAGACATAGCATTGGGATATATGCAAAATGTTTAATTCTTCCAAACACCAACTTAATGCAGAGTCAATCAGAGACCTTACAGGGCTCTTTTAATTGAAAAAATAATGAAATGTTAAATATCTGAAAATAGACAAGCAAAGTCACAAAAGTGAAAGACTTGCCTTGCCAGATGACCAGAATACACTATAAAGCCACTATAATCAAATCCATATGGTATTTGAATAGGAGTAGAAGAAAAGATCTCTAGAAAAAATCCAGAAACTGACCCCAAGACTCACGAGACTTTACTATACAACAAAGATGGTGTTTCAATTAAGTAGCAAAGGACACATTAAGAAATAGGGGTGGTACAACCAGCACCACTTCGAAAAGAAAATAATACATTGGGAAAACTACTTGGGACGAAAACGACAAAGGATTAATACCTGCATTCTACAACAAGTCTTACACCTGGACGAAAAAGACAACTTAAGAGAAAAAGGAGTAAACGGTAGGAAAGGCAATACACAAAATAGCAAATCCCCCAAAGCGAGCAAACAGGGCACAATGCTCACACTCATGCGCAGCCAGGAAAATGAAAACCAATATAATTGGAGATGGATGGGGATAGGTAGTTTCATGCATTGCTGGTAGAAATGTGGCTACGGTAAGTCCTCACTTAACATCATCCATCGGTTCTGCGACTTTAAGCCAGATGCTGTATAACAAAACCAACTGTACTGCCAACCAATCGCAATAGACAAGAGTTAAGTTCCTGTGGCGCCGCATCGAAGTGATGACAAAAAAGTGTTATTTGAGGACCTGCTGTAGTTAGAATCTTTTTGGGAAGCAAACTGCCAACACTCATTAAAATAAAAAATATATGCAGCACCTTTAGGAGTTGGGAAGAAATGGACTGATCCCAAGAGAGCAAAGATGGGCCTCTTGGGCCAATGATGTGCTATTTCTTGCTTTTTGGGTGAAGGATACAGGGGTGTTCAGTTTGTGAAATTTTGAGCTATAACCCTAGGATAGATGAGGTGTGTGTAACCTCAATTTAAAAAACAGACAAAATATATAAATATATAAGTCATCTAACCAAACAACCTCACTCCTGGCTGTTTCATAGAAATATATGCAACAGTAAATATTTTAAATCAAAATGTTTATGGCAGTATTGCTTTATGGCAAAGGACTGATGCCAGTCAGGAGGGAAGTCGATGAATAAATTATGTAACGTCCAACTCTGAAGCACATAGCCATTGAAAGAATGGCTTGAAGCAGTATCAGTTGACTTGGAGATGCAGAAATCAGTGAAAATGTGATCCCATTTTTAAAGTGAGTGACCAAACCTCCCCATTTGTGCACGTTACACGCATGCACTGCCCAGGTGTTGCCCCCAGTGGCCATGTAGGAGAGGAAAGTTTCTGTTCAGAAAGGTTCCTGGGAAGCCCTCTCAGCACCGACATCTGCAGGTGAGTGCAGGTGCCGTCACAGGGAGCTGCCGTGGCCCTGCAGAGTTGCCCCTGTTGGGTCTAGGGAGCTGGGCCTCATCCTCAGCACCCACCAGGCACTGGATTGTTTGCTCCTGGGAAAGCCGTGTGGGAAGTCCTTGGGCCAGTTTCTCTGCGGCTGAGGCGGTCAGCAGGAGGCGCTGTGTGAGCAGCCTACCAGCAAGGACCCAGCCCTGGCGCCCCCCCCCCCCCCCCCCCCCCCCCCCCCCCCCCCGCGCCCACCACGCTAGTCCCACACTCGGCTCACTGCCTGCGGCGCACAGCCACTGGCTGCAGATCATTCTGAGCAGCTTCTTCCGGATTCTGTGCCTCTTCCTGGGGGGAAACTTTTAAAAGGAAGGGCAGCGGCACTGCAGCTCGCCTCCAGGCTGCAAATGCCATTCGTCTCCCTCTTTTTCTTTTTAATATATTTTATTGATTTTTTACAGAGAGGAAGGGAGAGAGAGAGCTAGAAACATCAATGAGAGAGAAACATCGATCAGCTGTCTCCTGCACATCTCCTACTGGGATATGCCCGCAACCCAGGTACATGCCCTTGACCGGAATCGAACCTGGGACCTTTCAGTCCGCAGGCCGACGCTCTATCCACTGAGCCAAACCGGTTTTGGCTCGTCTCCCTCTTCTGCAACCATCCGAAGGTCCCTCACCCTGGCTGAGCACCTCTGGCGGCCTAGGTACCTTACTGACGGAGTGACCAACCCCTCACCCGAGAGTGAGCCAGTGGTCACCATGCCTTCCTCAGGCCGGGGCCGACGTGTGTGCTGTGAAATGTGGGCAGGGGACCGAGAGGTGGCCAACCTTCTCACCTTGGTGCCAAGTACATGCTTCCCTGCCCCCATCATATACTAGTGACAGCAGCCCTAACATGACCAGGAGGTCCATCAGATGGAGATGGCATTCCTTGCCTGCCAGGCTCTTCACATAAGGAACTTGGAATGACTGGGTGGCAGCTGGACCTTGGAATGGAGTGGTACCCTTCCTGTGCCACTGGTGGGCTGCCCCTCGGGGAGTCAGGACAACCTGTAGGACCCAGACTGTTGGAACGCAGGGCCACACCTACTTCCACCTTTTGGTTCTGACCCCGTAATTGTACACATGGGAGACACGGCACCGTCGTGGCCACTGATGTACAGTATCCACTGCACCCGGGAGGGTCCTGCGCCATCTCTGAGAGGCGTCCTCCCCAGGCTGGCGCCCGAGCTGTGCCTGCTACAGGCCACTCCCTGCTCCACTGGAGTGGCGCTCATGGTGTGGAGCTGTGAGGGAGCGTGTGTCCCATGATCATGCCCACTGCAGCCCCTCCCCTGTAAAGCGGTCCCCACGTCTAACGTGCTGCTAAGCGGAGTCTGTGTCCGTGGACCAGTCTGGAGCCGATACCAGAGCTCACGGAGGCCCTGCAAGCCCAGGCCTGAAATGTGTCCATTCCGGTCAAGACCAACCTCTGCGCCTTTGGGGGCACAAGGGGCTCAGTGCTATCACCTTGCCAGCAAGTGACTTTTTCCTCAAAGGGTGATGCCACTGGGATGAGCACTTGGTCTGTGTTGGAAGGTTGAACATTCGGTGACGCAATAGCTAGACCAGCCCTGGTGAAGAGGAGTGCCATGCTGTTGGGCCACACCCAGCCTCCACCCAGACTCACAGTTACTCCGTAAGAGCCCACAGTGCCTGTCCTGGGACAGGTGACAGGCTGGGGACGTCACCTGGCCGAGTCTTTCTCACTTAGTTCCGTCCTTCAGCAGCTGCTCCCCGTGCCCGCTAGCACCATAATCCTCAGCCTGCTGCTGCTCCTTGGTAGCGAATCCCATTACTAGTGAACATGCTTTAAGTGCTCCCTGTTCAGATCACACTTGTTGTCACCCGCACATCCACACACGCCCTCAGCAGGCCCGGTACCTGTGCCGGGTTACGATGACTCAATGGCCAGGAGAGAAGGAGGCGGTTCCTGAGGGAGCAGGAATTCTTTTTTCAGGACAAGCTTGTTGTGTGCGGGGCTGGAACACCAGCCTTTAACAGAGGAGGAGCCACTTGTGCAGGTGCCAGAGATGCCTGGAACGCAAGATTTCAATGCACATCTCAGGGCCTGGCCCTCTTCCGGACCACGGCCTGACCTTGAGGCAGCACACCTGCCAGGGCTGAGTGAGAATCCAACCTTCTCGGAGCTCCCGGCTCCACACGCCTTCAGACTAAGCCGTGGCCGTGGCTGCAGGTGGTCTGCTTGTAGGCTCCCAGGGAAGCCCTCTGGTTATCACATTTAGCCTTTCATTGCTAAGTATTCACGCTCAGCCTGTCTCTTCCCAAAGGAGTATTATTCGCAGCCACGGTCCCCAATTCCACGGTGTCCCAGCAGCCAGGGCAATAGCGGCCACTGGTACCCCCAGTGACCATTGTAGCTGCGCCGCCCCCCTTGGCATTCCAACTACAGCTGCTATGACGTCACCGGGCTGGCCTACCTGAGGGCCCAACCTCCAGGACACCATGTCTGCTTTCTCACACCGCTCCCGGCACCAGCTGCAGCAGATCAGGGTCCCTGGGAACCGGACTGAGCTGTGCCCGCAGGAAGTTTACTGGGAGCTCAGGGGAGCAG